TGCTCAGGTTCCTTCCGACCCTAGAAACTATGAAACTATCACACAGCCCCAGACCTGCTGTGTTAGGTCTGACCTTGTGGAACCTGGGTCCAGAGCCATGTGCTGTATCAAAACCAGGAAACTGAGTCCAAGATGCCAGGTGGGATCCAGCAAGTAGCTTCAGAGCCAACGGCTGGCCCCAGACCTGCTGCACCTGATCAGGCTCACCACACAGGGTCAAACTTGGTGCATGGCTCCAGAACCACCATGCTGGATTAGCCTTTGAACCCTTCTGGCATGCAGGACTGTAAACAGGATCAGCTCCCTAGATGCTACCACTCAGATACCTACCAAACTTTTTTTTTTTTTTGCTTCATGGTATCTTTTAAAAAACAAAGTGTGTGTTATATTCAATGGCACTTTATATGTGAGAAAATATGGTAATTAGTAGCAAGGCTGGTTGCATTATGAATAGTTCTACATACAGCTACAGGTAAAGTAAATGACTAGTAGCAAGGGGATTGTATTCTGAGTAGTTTTACAGACTTAAAGACATCAGACAAGAGACTAATTTCTTTCTAACTTCCTATGCCACATGTAAAATGAATAACCAGCTCACTCTTTCAGGTGTGCCGAGAGGATGAATTCATTAATAAAATTAATCCTTAGGAAGGCACAGGGTTGCTCCAAGATCCTTCGTACCATTTAACAGGGTTCAGTGATTAATAGAATTTTGTAAACGCTATCTGCACTAAAGTCTCAATGTGCGTTAAAGTGAGCCTACATAAAACATGCTGATCAAGTACAAAGTAGTACTGTTCCTACACATACCTTGTTAACTAAGTTGTCCTCTAAACATGCAATTCTTTCTGTCTTTTCATCTACAGTTTCCTGAAGACTGTCCTTCTCCTTATCCAGGATACTAATGGTACTTCTGAGTACATTCACTGTCTCATCCTGAGAAGCAGTTTTCTGGCTTAACCTATCTGTAAGAAAAAAAAATAGGCATCCACTAATTTAAATTAAAATAATTAATGTCAAAATCATATATATTTAAGTGATTACCTATTTTCTCCTCTAACTGTGCAATTTCTTCTTGAGCTGACTGGAGTTCATCCTTTCTGAGACAGAAGCGATGCTGTAAATCTTCAAGGGATCTCTGCAGTTGTTCATTTATGAGCCTGTGAAATCAATACTCCATTGAAAAAACACAGGAGCTCTAACCATTGAGGTATATAAATACACTGATTACTAATTTTATTATCAAACTGGAAGAAAATTAGAGAAATTGAAAGTTATCCAAGGTCATCATATTGCTGCCGTTCTTAATCAGCAAGAACTATTTATCTTAATAAAACAAATACAAATAAATAACAAAAATAAAATATCTCCAATTTTACTAGTCCAATTTTCCAGTACCTCAGGAATTAAAAACACACTGAACCCACTTAGAGCTACAAAGACTTCTCACATTTGGAAAAAAATATCCTATAGTAAATGCAGCTATAAGTCCACACACAGTTAACCATGTCAAAATGTTACTTTCAGGGACCTGATGAAGAATGCCTTGCATTCAGAAGCATGTTTAACTTTATGCCAACTATGCAGTTGGTCTAATAAAAGATATCATCCATAAAAATCCATGCCTCTTGAGAAAGGGGGCAGGAATCAAACCTTGTGTGCAAAACTTGTTAGAAAGTATCCTTTCCTCTAGAGCAGAGGTTCACAAACTTTTTCTTACTGGGTACTCTCTTACATATTTACCAGCTGCCTGCCTACTCCTACCAACACGCATTTTATATTTTAACCCTTTAAATGCCAATTACTATTATAATGAATATTAAATCCACCACTACACAACTTCTCCCCTCAGAG